ACCTCAAAGAGGCATCCCTCGACGCAAAGGCCAATACCATCATACTCGGAGAATAACCTTTCGAACAAGTTCGAAAGGTTATCGGGAAACAAGTCCAAGAGACACACCGGAATGCTACGACCATATTAAAGACTAAGGTTATATAAAAAGGCTACGGCTGAAATAATACGACTCAAAGACATCCGATTTCTGCCATAAGTTAAGGCCTTCAAATACTTTGAAAAACCGAATAAATAAGGCTACCCTCGGCAAAGCAAATAGAAAAGGGCTTCGCTAAAATAAGCCCTAGAATAATTTAAAGGCTTTGATAATATCAGCCTTCGAAAAAAGCCTGAAGAGGTATTAAATTATCTTAACATAAACGGGTTAAGAAAAATTGGGTTCTGGTCGATTGAACCCTCGAAAAACCCAACGGGTACCAAAAACACATGCTAAGGCATAAAAATATTTTCATTATGACTTTTAGTTGAAAAGAGGGAAATATTATAGTCATTTTAAAGGCCGAATTGGCCCAACTTAAAGAGCCTAAGGGCCAACCTAAAAGAGCCTAAGGGCCGAAACATGTAGAGTTCGAGACCTTGCTCTCACTCGACTCGGACTGAAGAGTCCCATTATCCTGAGCTCACATCAAATCGACTTAAGCACAGTTTGAGGATTCATCAAAAAACCTTAAGATGTATTCTATTATAAGTTCAACGATCGTTCATTAATCACTAAAAACCTAAGGGTTTTATTCTACTCTAAGTCCGATCCAGTGCTCACTCGATCACTGAAGTTATAAAATCAAAAAAAAATCACAAAATGAAGACGAAGCAGAATTCAAAACAAATAAAAAATGGAGCAGAAAGAAAAGGAATTCTTTATATTCATAAAGAGTATTGATAGTGCCCACAAAGGGCTTTACAAAAAAACAAAAAAAAACAAAGCCCTAAGAGCCTAATCTACTTGGGGAGCTGCATCATCGGGAGTCGCATCCTCGGGAGCCGGATCTTCAGGAAATTCCTCCTTGGGGACTTCGTCCTCATCTCCTCCGCTCTTAGAACCACTAGCGGAATCTTCATCATCAGAGAGTAAAGCGGCAGCCTCATCCTCCAAAACCTTTGAATTTTCAATATCTTCTAAGATCTCAAAACAACGAGCATGCACTTCCTCGAGAGTTTCTTTCCGAGATTGTCGCCTGGCATGATCGAGAGCACATGACAATTTGAATTCAGGAGCAATGGAGATTTCTTGTGCCCGAATGTTAACAGCTTCTGCGTCAGCTCGATAAGAGGCCACAAATGCCTCTGCCTCATATTTGGCCTTCACAACCTTGGCAGCCGATTTAGCTTCGAGCTCTTCAATCTTTCGGCTCCAGGCCAAGATTTCCCCCTTTGAAGTTTGAAGCTGGCATTCAACCGAAGCCAACTGGGCCTGAAGTGTCTCTTTCCCTGAGGCAAGACGGTCCATTTGCTGCTTCCACCCCAAGGTCTCGGCCTCTTTCATATTAACCTCCTCTCGAAGCTGCTCCACCAGCTCGCCCTTCTGCTGGGCCTGTAGAGTCGAAAGCGTTAACTACTAAGTTAAATGAACATGTAACTAACTCCCAAAAAGTTGCATTACCTGCTCAATGAGCTCGGTTTGTTCCTGCTGAGCCCTCACTAGTTTAGCTCGAAGATTGCTGGTCTCCCCCTCTTTTTTGACGTGGAGGATCTTAAGGTTGTCCCTCTCTTCCACGAGCATTTTGAGTTTGGCCTTAAATCGAGCAAGCTCGTCCCGAGACTTGGAAAATTCTTCTTGATGGAGCGTCACAGACTTCACACAAAAAGAAAAAGTTAGACCCAGAACAATAAGAATAAAACACATGGGTAATTTTGAAAGCCACAACTTACTTGTTTAAAAAGCCACTAGGCCTCGTCAAAAATAAACGAAGCATCTGGGTTGGGACCATCTTCGACCCCCACTAAGTATTCCCGAAAAATATCATTCCCTTCATAGGACGTCTCCACGTCGTGAGTCTTCATGGCCCGAGCATCTCGGAACTGCCCTTCGAAAAACTCAGGGCCCGGCGGGGATTCATGGATGTTAATTATCCCAAGTGATTCACTTGGGACATTTTCTTCTCTTTGAAGGGCATCTAAGTTAGGCTCTTCAGGTTCTCCGGTCGTATGTCCTCCTAAGTGAGGAGCGCTTTTACCACCCGATGGCTCGGGGACTCTGCTCGAGTTCCCTTCGGAGATTTCTTCGGTTCGAGATTGAACCGCATCAGTCACCGCCGGGTCGGCGGCCTTCGAACCTTCAGTGCTCCCCCTCTTCCGAGTCACCAACGGGTAGTCGGCATCTTTTCCTTTTTCATCGTCATCCCGAAGGTTTTGGACTGCTTTCGCAGATAGGGCTACAGGATCGGCCCTAGGCTTTCGAGTCTTATTTATCTTGGGCTTTGGGGAACTTGCTGGCGAAGCCCTTTTCCTTTTCTTCTCCTTGGTTGGATTTGGGATTTCTTCTTTATCGGGCGGGGGCGGCCTCATAGCAACAGTATCTCCAAGGCCTGCGTAAGGGGAAAGTAAGCATTCTATAGAAAAGCGTCGACATACGAACAAGGGAACTCACCATGGTTTTTGTCTTCCCACCAACCCTTAGCCAGATCATGCCAACAACGTTCTGCGTGTGAAGAAGTGGAGGCCAATTGTCGGCCCAACCATCAAGGTCTAGTATCGCACCCGGAAACCAAGAGGAAGTTGCACCATCAACAAAGTAAATAGATCGAGGAAAGGCAGGGAAAGCAGAGTAGTAAATATCATCAGTAGGGTTGTACTTACGTTTCATGTTCCATTCCTCGGGGAATGGCATCCTTTCGACAAGGATTAAGTCGGAGGTCTTGATTCGGACAAACCGACCCATCCATCCTTGGTCTTTGTCCTCGTCGATGCTGGAGAATAATGAATTCATGGACTAACGCTGGAGCTTTATCAAACCACCTCGATAGAGGTGAGGGCTGTATAGCCTGATTAGATGGTAAAGTGTAAAAGGCAACTCCCCCCCCCCCTGACCTTGCCCGAGAAGAACCTAAGCAATTTTACAATACGCCAAAAAGAAGGGTAGATCTGGCCAAGTGTCACCTGATACTGGTGATAGAAACCGAGAATGACTGGATCTACGGAACCCAGTACCGGATCTACGGGACCCAGTATGAAAGGATAAGTATACACTTAGGTATCCTTACACATGGTTAGTGATGTCTTCCTCAGGGGAAAGAATCACCACTTCCTTGTTCTCCCAATTATAGTCTTATTTCACCTGCTTGAGATCGACTTCAGATATTGAGCAGATGTATCGAGACATGGGCACGCATCTGCCTAGAACCGATACAAGCTTATCGATTTTGAAATCGGAAGATAGCTCGCATGGCCCGGGAATGCACTCCTCGATACGAGGTGGCACCGCTGTTCTACCACCGGCCGGACATGATGATGAGGAGGCTTTTTTTTTCTGAGAAACAGTTTTAGATGTTTTAGCCATTACTATTGAGAAACTCAAAAGAAGAGAAGAAGTTGATGTTGTAGCAAGGACAAGTTGAAGAAAGCATGAACTTAGGAAAGATGAAGAAGCTAGTGAGGTTTGAGAAAGATTTGAGAAGTAAAGATGGTAAAAGTTGTGAACTTGACCTATTTATAGCGGTCGCTTTAACAGTTTGGGGAAGCCAATAGCCGACCATTAGCTGCCTTCAATTAATGGCCTTGGGAACTATGTAGTTGCAACCTTTCAATCACTTCTATCCCTGACATCACGAGATTCACGTCGTGATCGAGGCATCGAGGGAGCAAGGATGGAATCATTTCTTATCATTTTATTCTACGAAACGCGGGGACTATCTGTATATGGTAAAATCATGTGTCCCCATTTTTGTAGGCTCGAGGACTCGCATCGAAGAACAAACTCGATATGGGCTAGGCTCAAGCCCGAGGACATAATACAATGCTCGAAGATCGGAGTACACGATAAACACAGAAGCTGAGTATGACCGACCCCGAGATGATGTCGTTATGGGTTTGCAACAGAAAGAGCAAGATTCCCGTCACGTCCCCAAGATCATGGCTTAAATTCCGGAATAAATTTGTACGAGTTAGTATGAATCCGTACTAGGCGTTTAGACAACTGTCCCAATAAGATTCCTTACTGTAAATAGAAATGTACCTTATTTAGGATTTCCCTACAATTTAAAGGAGACCCCAATCATTTGTAACGATCATCAATCATTAGCAAAAGAATATACTGTCTTACTTTCTTGCTCGTTATTCATCAGAATTGTCTCTTAGCTTTATTGTCTTTACTTTACTATTCTTGTGGACCTACCTCGAGGCCATCACAGCTCGAGGTCAAGTTTGGCCTAAGCACTGGTTTGATTCAACACATTTCCTTAACTTGTACGTCTGATTTCTTGGTTATTAATTAGTATTGAATTAAATCACGCATCTTTAAAACTATAAACAAATTTAATTTTTACTCGTATTTTCGAGGTAAACATGCTTCTTAACGTAGAACAGCCACTAATACAATAGAGGAAGAGGCGTAATTGTTCCTAATAATAGATGAGTATTGTTTTTCATATAGTGAAGAATAGAGCATATCATCTCTTCGAGATTAAGTATACCTGTTATTATTAAATGCAGAACATTTATAGATGATATCTCATTTTCGCGAAAACAATAAAAAGAATCTCTAATATGATATTGTGAGCAAATGATTGTTCCGATAAAAATATTGCAGAGACATGTATCTCACAAATATCACATTACGTGATATTTTATGTGTGAAATATTCTTGCGCTATCACGTCATTATTACTTTTTGTAGTAGGTAAACTACTTTATCCTCGAACTACTAGTATTCCAAGCTAGAGACCATCACATTAGTAAACAGATGTCTTATTTTTTTAACGATAAAAAACTGAAAGAAAGCTATATGAAATTGCTTAAATCATACACACACAAATCATTAACAAATATCTGCATCAACCAATTGTTTTTTTTTTTTTTTTCACTCGAGAACTTGTTAAAGTTATTTTTGCGAAAGATCTTCTCACAAGTCACACTGGTAGAGGGCAGGAGCAATTACAGTCGCAGGAGTATATATGCACTCATAACAAATCCAACCATCTGAACAATCACTCTTTTTACGACAAATTCTCCCGCATGTCATGAAATCATTGAGTGGCAGTAATTTTTGTTTCACCGATAGCATATTGTGGGGCAAATTTCGCATAGCCATTGATTGCATCTTTTGAGAAGAAGACAGATTAACTGCATGACATGATCACAGCTAAGATTATATTAGTAATATTACACTATACGTGAGGAATATACATGAGTTTACATACTAACAATGTAAATCTTTACATTATTAGTATCTAAAAGATGATCACAACTAATCATCCCTGACAAGTTCTTGAAAAAGTAGATAAACTACTATAATACCGGTAGTATAAAAAGAAACTATGCAAGCAATATATATAAATAAACTCGATAATACATATACGGTCTGGAAGTATGCACCCATATGAGTAAACTTAACTATATATATGGATGAACAATATACTCTCTCTGATTTATTTATGTGGCAACGTTTCGAGTATACATACTAGGATAAAGTACTTAATTTTTGGGTTCTTCAAGTATTTGAAAATAAATGTTACATATTTGAAAACTGCATTAAAAAATATAACAACTTATACTCCATCTGTTCCAATTTGTGTGAACCTGTTTGACTGGGCATAAAATTTAAGACAAAAAATGAAGACTTTTGGAATTTGTGGTCCTAAATAACTCAGAAAGGGGTCCACAATATTTGTATAGTTATAAAAGTTTCTCACTAAGGGCAGAATTGAAAATTTAAGCTAAATTGTTTCAAAATTTAGAAGTGGACATTCTTTTTGGAACGGACCATAAAGGAAATAGGTTCACATAAACTGGAATGGACGGAGTAATAGTTAAAGATTCAAAACTTTTAAAAAATATTTGAGAGAATAATAAATAAATTTCAAAGAAGACAGAGAAAGAAAGATGACCAGTAATTGTCGTGACGACAATAGTGAATACGAAGGCAAACTTTATCATAGCGCATTCCTTGCCCATCTCTACTCTGCTACTATTGATGGAGGATGTGAGTATGTTGGTGATTTTCTTGATAGGCAGATATCATAATTATAGGACAGCCTCATGTCAACATGTTCATTGGCATATACTACATCTGACGTATTTGGTGTTCCCTTGCTGATTGTTTTTGTAAATTTTGTTTGTAAATTTTGTTTTAGCAGCCGACAATTAAGAACCTTCTATTAATTATGTGCTTTTTATATTAGTTAATACGTGATAGGTTTAAAAAGTTGCAACTGATTTTTTCATTGAAATCGTTTAATTTGCCTCTGCATTTAAAAACGTTTAAATTTTTTTGGTATATGTTTTCAGTTTCAATCTTTGTCCAGAAGGTACAATATCATGGATATTTTATGTCATTGCTTGTCGTATATGTTGTCCTAGACTTGTAATGTCAAATTGTCAATATCATTACGAAGTGCTATTTTGCCATCATCCGAACCATATATGTCATGCTCTATAGGCTTGAAGAGCACTGTCAAGCGGCTGGGGTTAATTTCACTGAAGGTTATTCAACTAATTTTATATTTCACAAAAGACACTTATCTATTATTTATCACTTAAAAGTCACTTAATTTTACATTTATAACTTAAAAATCATTCTGGTTTAAAATCTGCAAAATATCCAATAAAAAATATGACATGGCATTAAATTTAATTTTAAAAATCTAACAATAATGCTACATAAGCTTAAATAGACCATATCTAAGTTAGACTTATTTTTTCCTCGGCCCGATTTGACCACCAAAATGGGTTGTTAATATTTTGACCATTTGATTTTGTGGTTAATTTGTAGAAAAATAAGTCTAAGAAATTAAAGAAAAATTAGGTCTTTTGAATTTATCTTTAGGTTTTGGTTGTACACGTACGGTCAATGACACAATATATTGTCTCTTTCTTTTGCCCAAACTATCGCTATAGGCTATCTACGATTGCAGTGTGTATTGACAACTTCAGCTATGGAATTTCATATGTGGGTATTTCTTACTGAGCAGTATTTTTGTTTGTTAGTATTGCTTAATAAGCAATATTTTGACTTTAATGGAATAGTAATTTGTGAAAATAGGTTCTTATTAGTTTGTTGTTCTTGTCTGTTAGTGATACATTTATATGTTATGTGAGATTGATTGATAGTATTTTAACTTCATAGAAAATTATAAAATGACATGAAGGATGCAAAAATTGGTTTTGTGCTAGTTCTGTTCATATTTTTAATGAAACTAGTTTTTTGGCACATGCGTTACACGTGTATCTCAAATTATGTAGTATATGATTTTCTAAAATTTTTCAATAATTTTGAAACAAAAGCTTTGCATATAAATGACTAACTTAAGATAAAACATAACTTCATTACCTAGTAAGATCTTTCCATGGCAATGAATTGTCTTAAATAAAACAAATGTGAAAAGAGATAAGGCGTTTTAAAAAAAATATATATGAATAATTTGCTTTTTCATCTCAAATACAAATATCTCATATATAACAAGAAAGAGTACTAAAATGTAACACAAAGCACTCCTGACAGCGTACGTATTTTATAGGTTTTAGAATATACAACACTCACATTTAGAAAAAACTAATTAAAATCCACAACTCAAACCAATCTTGTACCAACTAATAATTCAAAGAAAAGTTGGTTCTTTCATATACAGTTATACACAATTGCAGTAGCAATAAGTTATAAATGATACAGTAACAAATTGAAAAAAATAATATAAATGAAACTGAATTTGAAATGGGTGGAAATAATTTATAGGGTTGAGTGATACGTATGAATTACAGGTTCAACTTTGGACCTCATGTTTTTTATTGACGTTTTACAAAGGCATGGCTTTAATCCATTTTTTCACACGTCCAAGATATATCTCAGTCCATAGAAGAACCAGTCAGTTCTTCTAAAAAAAAAAAGATGATAGTTGGATCGATGATCTTATATGCTGGAACGATTTTTTGGTCCTCATAGTTCCTTCTTTTGGAAAAATATCCATGTCAATACTCTAGCACTTTATTATGACCTTCTTCAGTATCTTCTTAAATATTTCAAAGGCAACTCTGCATAATATTTTTGTCAAGTATAATGTCCAAAACAATAATATTTTATACGCATATAAAAAAAGTCTTTTAACCATAAATGTTTTGAGATCATCATATCATACAATGAACATCTACCCTAATATTGAACTAGATTTTAAAAATCACAAATAACATACTAATTAACTAATGTAAAGTAAGTAGAACCCGGTTTTGTCACTTTCTTATTCAATTGTTGCCCTGAAGTTGACATCTTCATATGAAACTGTTTGGTGCCAAAACACATCACATTGTGCGCGGCAAAGAAAGCTTTTATGTGTACCTCAACAAATGGTTTAGTCTTCAGTAGGCTGCAAAAGACTTGTTGCTCACTCGACATTTTCTTCGGAAAAAATCTGAAAGAAATTCTTGAAAAAATTGCTAGAGAAGAACAAAAATCTAAAGTCGTGCAAGTTTTCCTTGCTTTGCAAATCTTCTCAATAGTCCTACTGATTGATTTGTATCACAATGTAAAATCTAGCAATTTTTACCTCCTATAGCAAAGGTTAACACCTTATTTATTTTAAACAAATACCATTTAAAAAAAATTATATTCTATAAATACTTTTTAAGGTTTATAGCAAAATATTTAATTTTGGTTACCTCCTAGCCCTAAGCCACTAAATACGCTAATCAGTTACACTATTTTCTTTCTCTCTCTACTTTGATACATCTCATTCTCTTCCCCATCCTATTAAAATTTCCGATCTCCTCCTCCTTCCACCGATTTTCTTTCTATACCTTCCCACTTTTCCCTCCCTTTAAACCAGCAGTGTTACCATACACAACAGATTTAATGGGAGGAACCATTTCACCAATAAAAGCCAACAATGTAGCAAATGTTGGTGGCTGGAGAACATGGCGAACTGGAGTTTGTTCAGCAACAATTCGTATTCTTCTAACCATCCGGGGCTCCGCTAAACATCTAATAGATTTTGGACTCCTCGGAGCTGGCGCCTCCTCCAAAGACTGAGTGACGTCAAGTCCAACGAGGAGATGGCGGCGGTCGTGGAAAAAGAATTCGGTTTCGGAGATCCACTGAGTGACGATTTCTTTCTTTCGAGATGAAGAAGAACATTTCTTTTAATATATTTTAATATAATTTCAACGTATTATGCTGTATTTTCATGATTTTTATTGTATTAATTGTCTTTTTTTCATTGTAATTCAATGTATCTCGCTGTATTCCATGTATTTTATTGTATTCTCTATTTTTTTTTCATTGTATTTCAATGTATCCCGTTGTATTCTATGTATTTTATCGTATTACTGTCTCGCTATATGCCATGAATGTATTCATAAGTTTTTTTTAATTAATATAATTTATGTATTTAGATGTATTATATAATTTCTCTGAAGATTGCTATGTTTTTGGGGTATTTTTTGTTGAGAATCTTTTTTATAACTGAAAATTCAAATTTTGTGTGCTATAATTGAGTTTGTTGAGTTATATTAGCAGTCTATTATGTTAATTGATTCACTTTTCGTTTTAAAAACAGTGTAATCCCCTATTTCACGCCGTGAATACAGTCGAATACAATAATCTATCCAGCTGTAATCNTACTTGCTTGTCTCTTAGCCTTCTCCTTTGACCCTTTTATATAGGTGTGGGGTGGAGTAGTCTCCAAGAAAACTCTAGTAGATTATTGGGCTTGAGGCTTATGGGCCGACCCATTTGATAGAAGACCAATTGACGGGCTAGCCCAATAATATATTGGACATTTATTTAAATCAATTTAATTGGATTTAAATAACAAACCCAATTATACCAGTCCATGTTACTTAATTGGACCAATATATATTTAATTTGTGGTAAAATCTAAATTTCTTATGGATTTAAATTTGACAAAATTTTAATTATCTACAAATGCCCCCTACTTCAAGGCTTGGCGAAAGTCGAAAACGAGGCTTGAAGTATTCCTCGGAAGAAAGTAACTATTTTTTCCGTGAGTTAACTTTCAAGTACTCCTGAGAGTTACTCCTTCAATATAGGCATGTTGTCATATATACCTGTGTCTTAGATTCTACTAACAAAATTGTCACGTGACTTCGATATTTGTATGTAATCAACTTGACTTTTGTACTCTCACAATATGGTATTGATCTCAATTTAAGAAAGTCAATAAGTAGCCTTTAATGAACTTCATATCCCATTCTTTCCAAAAATTTCAAGTCAACTAGGAAATTTCCTTTTATACAAGGAATCCTTCGCCTTCTTGGAAAAGAAAATACGAGACCTTGTTCTTCTTTTTTTCCTTTTGAATTAGCTCCTTTTTTAACAAGCAACCCAATTCCATGAGTAACCAAATAAGGAAAAGTTCAGCATCTTTTTCTCTATAAATTCAGCAGTGGATCTTGCGTTTACTCTGCATCAACGGTCTTCTAAATTCAAAAGGAGAAGACTTGTTTTGAGTTTTTTTTTACTCCTTTGTCGACGTCACTGCCATCGTTTCGGCTAATATGTAAACTGATGTTTTTGGCTGATTTACGTTTTTTCCTTTCTTCTTTTTCTTTTCACAACTTTGGCTTAATTTCTTTTTTTCTCAGTAGTTTCCAGCTTTATGCGTTTGTGTAAAGAATCCGCATCCTGGTGTAGGAGCATCGAAATCACGAGCGGTTTGCGGCTACAGAAACTAGACTCGGAGTACTACAACATATTAAAATTTGGATTTAAATTCGTATTGTATCATCCTAGGTGAGCTTCGTAATCTTGGTTCATGTTCTGTCATGCTCGACATTTCAGTTTTGCGCGTCTTAACAAAAAAAATCATATCTTGGTGTAGGAACGCCGAAATCACAAGCGGTTTGCGGCGACAGAAACTAGACTTCCAGAACTACGACATAGGTAAAAATCATAATCAGAATATGCTGATATATTCCCAGATGTTTTCTCGAATTTAGGCAACGTATTATGACATGCTGCCCCATTCTGTCTTGCTGTTTTATTTTTCATAGATTTCCCCCCCTTTTTTTTTCGCAGACTCTCGTACAGCACATAGGGCTGTGAATTCCATCAGCA